GGGTGGTTTTTTTTGGGGTTTGTTTTAGGATTTTTTTAAAAATTGTTTTTCTTGGGGTTTTCTTTGCTTGGATGGTTTGGTTTTTGGGTTGGTTTTTTGTTTTGTTTTGGTTTTTTTTTTGTTTTTTTTTGTTTGTTTTTGTTTTTTGTTTTTTGTGGGGTTTTTTTGGTTTTTTTTGGTTTTTTTTTTGTTTTTTTTTGTTTGTTTTTGTTTTTTGTTTTTTGTGGGGTTTTTTTGGTTTTTTTTGGTTTTTTTTTTGTTTTGTTTTTTGGTTTTTTTTTTTTTGGTTGGTTGGGTTTTTGTGGGGTTCTTTTAGTTTTTTCGTTTGGTTTTCTTTTTTGATTTTTTGTTTCACTTTTTTGACCCAAAATTGGCTTTCTCATCAGTTCCCACCCCAGCAGCTCTGGGTGACACCCGGATTCTCCAGAGGTGTTTGGGATGGAAATGAGGACGGGGAGAGGAGGAAGAGGAGGAACCACTCCTCCACCCCACCCCATCCCAGCAGCTCCCACCCATTTTTTCCCTCTTTTTGACCCAAAATTGTCCTCCTCAGCAGTGCCACCCCCGGCAGCAGCTCCGGGTGACACCCGAGGTGACAGCTGGCTTTCCAGAGCTGCGGACCTTGCCCCGTTCCCAGCCTCGGGAACAGCTGGGAAACAGCCGGATTTACCGGATCCTTCCTCCTCCTCCCTCCTCCTCCTCCCTCCCGGGGGCTGGAGCTGGGAACAAAAGGAGGAAAATCATCCGGGATGGGGACAGCCCTGTTTGCTTCCCGAGAGCCGGGAACAGCCGGGAGTTCTGTCCTTGAGGCCGTTTGGTTTTCCCCCTTTTAAAGGAACATTTCAGCCGTGGGAAGAGCGGGGATTGAGAGCCCAGAAAGGCCGAAGGCCCGGAGGGGAAAGGGAGAAGGAAAAGCTGAGGAAACGGGGAGATCCCGGCTTGTTCTGGTGTGAGGAATGGTCACAAATCCCGTCTTTGGGAAGAAAAAAATCACATTTTTGGGAAAAATAAACAAATCCCATCTTTGGGAAAAACAAATCCCATCTTTGGGAAGAACAAATCCCATCTTTGGGAAGAACAAATTCCATTTTTTGGAAAGAGCAAATCCCATCTTTGAGAAAAATAGACAAATCCCATCTCTGAGAAAAATAAACAAATCCCATCTTTGGGGAAAAAAAAAAATCCCATCTCTGGGAAGAACAAATCCTATCCTTGGGAAGAACAAATCCCCTCTTTTGGGAAAAATAAACAAATCCCATCTTTGGGAAAAACAGATCCCGCCTTTGGGAAAAACAGATCCCACCTTCGGGAAAAACAGATCCCATCTTTGGGAAAAAACAAATCCCATTTTTGGGAAAAACAGATCCCATCTTTAGGACAAGCATTGCTTTTCTTTCTCCTCTCTCTGGGTTGCTGGTGGGACTCAGTGACCTTAGCGGGCTTTTCCAACCTGAACAATTCCACTTTTTCCCACTTTTCCACGATGTTCTGGACGCCCAGCTCTCGCTGGGCTCAGATCTGAAGGAGTTTGCAGCTCCTCGGAGACGCAGATCTGGGAATTGTTTCAGGAAGAAGCCGAGCGGGCACGAAGGACCGGGAGAACAAGACGCATCACGTTCCCTAAATGATAATGAGGGAATGAAATTAAACCACCTGGGAGACCAAAACTCTCCTTCCTTCCTTCCTGGCCTCCTCAGGAGCAGCATCCCCTCCACGGCAGCAATTCCTGCCTGAGCTGTCGCCCGTGGACGATCCAGAAATGAATCACGGCCAGAATTGGGCAACGTGGCTCAGATAATTCCTAAAGCTGTCGTTCCGACCCGATAAAACCCCGCGTAACAACAAGGGGCGTCCCGTAATTTGTGTTAATTCCGGAATTGCTGCTAATTCCGGCCCAATTAGGAGATAAAACACGGCGGTGGAGCCGCTTATTAAATTACAAATCATCCCGGCTAAATCCGAGGATTATTTAACGCCGAGGGTTTGGGGAAGGCACGCGGGAAACTGCGCCGGAATAACGATGTCAGAGGGGAGCAGAGCGTTAATCAAAGTAATGAAAACATAAATTAGGGGAGGCCGGGCCAATAAACAGGAAATAAATAGGGTTGGAGGGAGAGAAATACATAAAGCAGCAGCATTAAAGGATAAACCCGCGGTGTTGGGAGCGCTGTAAATTCCCAACCATTTTCCCCAGGATTGGATTTTCGGGGCTGATTTGTGGCCGTGTCCCGGCGAACCGGGGAGATGATAAATACAGAAGATTTCCTGCACCCCCAGCTGCCAGCCAAACCCTCCTGGGGGACAGTGAGGTCTCCCAGGTTCCTCCTGGAATTTCTGCCGTGCCAAGGGACGAGATCCGGCCGCTCATTCCCGGGAAACGGAGCCAAAATAGGAGAAGGAGTGAAAATATTGGGATTTAACTCAGATTTCACTCAGTTCTGCCTTTGGGGGGGTGGAGGACGGAGAGCAGGGTCAGATGGATCTGCAAATCCACTTTAGGATTTGGGAGCAGGGCCAGCATTTGCTCCCCTATGGATCAGTGAATCCACTTTAGGATTTGGGAGCAGGGCCAGCATTTGCTCCCCTATGGATCTGTGAATCCCCTTTAGGATTTGGGAGCAGGGCCAGCATTTGGTGCCCTATGGATCAGTGAATCCAGTTTAGGATTTGGGAGCAGGGCCAGCATTTGCTCCCCTATGGATTTTTGAATCCCCTTTAGGATTTAGGAGCAGGGTCAGCATTTGCTCCCCTATGGATCAGTGAATCCAGTTTAGGATTTGGGAGCAGGGTCAGCATTTGCTCCCCTATGGATCTGTGAATCCCCTTTAGGATTTGGGAGCAGGGCCAGCGTTTTCTCCCCTATGGATCTGCGAATCCCCTTCAGGATCTGGGATGTCGGGAAGAGATTCCTGCCAGGAGGGCGCTGAGGCCAGGCCTGCCCAAAGCCAGGGAGCCGGGCAGGGAGCCGAGATCGATTAATGATTGTCCAGGGAGCCGAAGGAGCGGGGCTCCGCGGGCGATAAGAGGCTGATAAGGCAGAGCTGGCGGGGCTGGAGCGGCCACCCAGAGCCGGGCAGCCCCCGGGAACGGCCGGGATCCGTGATCCCGCTCCGCACCGGGCACGGCCGCGGCTCCCGGCGGCTCCCGAGCCGGGAAGGGCAGCGGGAGCACTGGGAGGGATGGGATTGTCCGGGCAGGGAGAGGGATGAGGGACCAGCCGTGTCCCCGGGCTCACGGACAGCCCAGGGACGCCTCAGGGGTGTGGGAAATGGATTCGTGGAAAATTTGGTAGGTCAAAAAATGCTTATATTGTATATTATAATTATATAGTTATATAATATTTTAAATACTAAAATTAAATAATTAATATTTTAAGTATTAAAATTTATATCAAACATTTAAAAGTATATAATATCATATAGTATTATATTATATTATATCACAATTATAATTAAATATTATTTATAATGTATAATTTTAATTAAGAAATAGTTGGCTTCTGATTTTGATAGCGTGAATTATAACGTCTGTGCTGTCTCACCCTTCTCCTAGGACTAAAAATAGAATAACGGGAGCTGTTCCCAGGAATGAGGGGCGGGAAAGGAAAGGGGTGGGGGGACCCCATTGGGTGTGAAATGGGATGGGGAGGGCTGGGATGGGATTGGGGATGGAAATGGGAAAGGGGGGGATAGGATACGGTGGGATAAGATGGAATGTGATAGGGTGGGACAGGGATGGGATTGGGATGGGATTTGGATTGGAATGGGATTGGGACAGGGATGGGATTGGATGGAATGGGACAGGATGGGATTGGGACAGGGATGGGATTGGATGGAATGGGACAGGATGGGATTGGGACAGGATGGGATTGGGACAGGATTGGGATGGCAGCGAGGCCGTGGCAGCCCCCACCGAGGCGGGACCCCCCGGCAGATCCCCCCGCGGGGCCGGGGGCTCCCCTTGGGCTGCCGGGGTGCGGCTGCCCGGGCTCCGGGAGCTGCTGCCTTCCTCAGGCCTCTTCCTCCTTCTCTTAATTAACTCTGATTTGCATGGGGGGACGTGTCTGGGCAGGGCCGGGATCCCGGGCCCGGCCAGGGAAGCCTGGCTGGAAGAAACCCGGGAGCAGCTCCGGGGTCACGGGGCAGCTCCAGCCCGGGCCGGTCCTGGTGGTCCCGGCGGCTCCAGGAATCCCGGGAAAAGCGTCCCCGGCCTCCAGGCACTCCCAGAGGCAGCGGGGGAGGGAGCAGGGAGGAGGAGGAAGGCTCGGGATCGTGTCCCTGTCCCGCTACTCAGGGATGTGCCCAAGGGAGGCCCCAGCCCGGTTTGGGGACCCCGGTGTGACCCCCAGAGCCTCTCGGGTGCCTGGGCAGGAGGGTGAGCAGGGGAGGCTCAAGGATCTTCCCCAAATTCCTCGAGTCCAGCTGATGTTTCCCATCGCTGCTCCAGCTGGGGCGGGGGCCGATTTAGAGGCAGATTTGAGTTTTAAAAACCTGGATTTATTTCAAAAGTAAAGGCTCCTTTTGGCAGAAACCCCTTTCCTTTTTTGCCAAAAACCCCAGGAAAAGCTCTCCCAGGACCGCTGGGCCTCGCCCCAGCTTTGCTCCAGCTGGGGGCTGGGGGCTGGGGCCACCTCCCCAGTATGAACCATTCCCAGTGTGAACCATTCCCAGTGTGAACCATTCCTAGTACAAACCATCCCCAATACAACCCACTCCCAGTACAATCCATTCCCAGTACAAACCATTCCCAATATAAACCATCCCCAGTATGAACCATTCCCAGTACAATCCATTCCCAGTACAAACCATTCCCAGTACAAACCATTCCCAGTACAATCCATCCCCAGTACAAACCACTCCCAGTACAATCCATTCCCAGTACAAACTATTCCCAATATAAACCATCCCCAGTATAAACCATCCCCAGTACAAACCATCCCCAGTACAAACCATTCCCAGTACAAACCATTCCCAGTACAAAGCCCCTCCCTCTTCCCAGCCTCTCTGGGTCCCCTTTTCCCCCCACCAGGCCGGGCAGGGCAGGGGAGCCCCCCGTGACCCCCCCAGGTTTGACCTGCTCAGGAACCCCTGGAGACCCCCCAAACCCACTCCCGGGTGTCCCGGGGGCCGGGCAGGGGCTGAGGGTGGGGGTCCCCTCCCTCGGCGGGGTCCCGGTGGGGGCGGCGGGGCCGGGGAGGGGCCGCGGGCGGAGCTCCGGGGCCGGGGCGAGCGGGGCTGGAGCCGGGAAGCGGCGCCGCCGCCGCCCCCCCGCAGCCCCCCGGGGGTCCCGGAGCGGACGGAGCCCGGCTCTCGGGGCTGCTCAGGAAGATGCACTTGTTCCGGAGCTCCAGCTACGAGGTGCGGCTGGAGGGGGCCGGGGGGAGCCTGCCCCTCATCCAGGGAATCCGCTGGGTGAGTGGGGAACGGGGGAGCGGTCAGTGGGGCCGGGGTCTCCCCAGCCCCGGGGATGAGAGGAGGGGAGGGAGTCCAGGAGTGCAGGGAGCCAGGTGAGGGTGGAAGGAGCCAGGTGAGGGCACGGGGAGTGAAGCCAGGCGTGCAGGTGGGGGAACGAGGAGCCAGGTGAGGGAGGGAGGAACCAGGTGAGGGCACGGGGAGTGAATCCATGCGTGCAGGGAGCCAGGTGAGGGCATAGGGGCCAGGTGAGGGCACAGGGGGCCAGGTGAGGGCACTGGGGGCCAGGTGAGGGCACAGGAGCCAGGTGAGGGCACAAGGGGGGGCCAGGTGAGGGCACAAGGGGGGGCCAGGTGAGGGCACAAGGGGCCAGGTGAGGCTGCAGGTGAGCTGCGCAGGCTGCTCCGGGCGGAGCGCAGTGGAACGGGCGGCCAGGCGTGAAGCGATCCCGGTGCCAGGTGCCCGGCGGCGCATCCCAGCAGGAAGGACATTCCCGGGGGGACATTCCGGGGGGACATTCCGGGGGGCCATTCCCGGGGGGACATTCCGGGGGCACACAGCGTTCCCCGGCTCCCCCCACCCCGTTCCCGCAGCAGGGATTTGTCCCCTGGCATCGCCACCTCCCCGCCCGGCTCTGCGCTGGCCCCGGGAGCTGGGGGGGGGTCCCGGGGGTCTCCCGGGCCCTGCTCTCGGCCCCTCCTTGTCCCCTCTGGGCGGGGAGGTGACCCTGGAGCCCTGGCAGATCTTCCGGAGCTTTGAGTCCTTCCCCTTCCCTCACTGCTTGGCCTGGGACACTTTTCAAGAAAAAAGTGGAATTATTTTAGGGGACAACTCCTCCTGGGGCATTTCCACGGAGCACAGGGACTCTCTCCCAGATAAGTTTTCCTCGTTTTTCCCCTTTCTTCCCGATTTATTTTTCCCTCCAGAACTTTTAGGAACGGTCTTTGGGGAGGGCTTTTGAGGGGCACTAAGCCTGGGAAACTGGGGGAGGAGCAGGCCTGGAGCATTCCTGGGATGAACTGGGATCAATCCCACCAGCCTGGCAGCGGTGGCACAGCAGGAGTGTCCCCTCTGCAGGGGACACCTGGGGATCGAGGGGAAAGGAGCTGATGCCACCAGGGAAAGGGGGATTTTGTCCCAGCACAGCCATTCCTGAGGCAGGTGAGAGGCAGGGAAATGCCTCAGGAGCCACGCAGGTCCCTTGTCCCCATCGCTGGAAACTCCTCCCGGCGTCCTGGCTCTGTCTCATCCCCCTTGGAATCTGATCCCAGCGCCAGCAAATCCCTCCCGGCCCCAAAGGACAGCGGTGGCTCCGTCCTCATCCGTTCCAAGGGGACGAGTGCCACTGTGCCAGTGACAAGTGCCACTGTGCCAGCCCCCGCCGCGTCCCTGGCGAGGACAGCAGAGCCAGAGCAGGTTCCTGACCCCGTCCCGGGGGATGCCGAGCCCCTTCCCGGGGGACGCCCGGCCCTATCCCGGGGGGTCACTGAGCCCCTTCCCGGGGGACTCCCGGCCCCGTCCTGGGGGAACACTGAGCCCCATCCCGGGAGACTCCCGGTCCCATCCCGGGGGACGCCCAGCCCTGTCCCGGGGGGTCACTGAGCCCCATCCCGGGGTGTCACTGAGCCCTGTCCCGGGGGACGCCCAGCCCTGTCCCGGGGGGTCACTGAGCCCCATCCCGGGGGACGCCCGGCCCCATCCCGGGGGGACACTGAGCCCCATCCCGGGGGACGTCCGGCCCCATCCCGGGGGATGCCCAGCCCCATCCCGGGGGATGCCCAGCCCCTTCCCGGGGGACTCCCGGCCCCATCCCGGGGGACGTCCAGCCCCATCCCGGGGGATGCCCAGCCCCGTCCCGGGGGATGCCCAGCCCCATCCCGGGGGATGCCCAGCCCTGTCCCGGGGGGTCACTGAGCCCCATCCCGGGGGACGTCCAGCCCCATCCCGGGGGATGCCCAGCCCCGTCCCGGGGGATGCCGAGCCCCGGCCGGCGGAGGCTGCGGAGCTGCGGATGGGCGAGGACTTTCTCCGGAGCCGTGAGGCCCGAAATAGCCGCGCTTGTTTTCCTCGGGATCCCAAACAAAAGCGGCCGCGAGCGCGGAACGGCCGCTGGCGGCCTTGGCCGGGCGCCCGGCGCTGCCGGAATCCTGGAGAAAGGCAGGATCCCGGCGTGTCCCGTGGGCAGGAAGATGGAAAAGGCAACTCCTTAGGAAGCTGCTTGGAGCCACGCCGTGACACGAGGGGGGGGTGGGGGGCGTCCTGCAGGTCCTGACCCGGGGTGGATGCTCCGGGGAGGGGGTTTGGGGACAGCGGTGGGGTTTGGGTGATTCCAGAGCCGTCCTGGCAGCGAGGAACCCCGGGAAGGAGGAATCTGATCCTTGAGCGGGGTTTTTGTGTCTCTTTCGGTGTCCTTGGAGCCTGGCTCTGTGCCCCAAGGACAGAGCTTGCTGCCGGGGGACAGCAGAGGCCCTTTGGGGACACCCAGGGTGGCACCTGGACCCACGGGGTGGCACGAACCTGCTGCACCCAGGAGGTGACAGGGACACCATGGGGTGACACAGACCTCCTGCTCCCACGGGTGACAGGGACATTCTGCACCCATGGGGTGACACAGACCTCCTGCTCCCACGGGTGACAGGGACCTGTGGCTCCCACGGGTGACAGGGACATCCTGCTCCCACGGGTGACAGGGACCTGTGGCTCCCAGGGGGTGGCACCTCCGTGTCCCCGGTGCAGCCCCGTGCCCCGGCCGCCTCCCGGCTCCCGTCCACAAACATTTGCTCGGCGCGGTTCCTGCTCCTCGCGGCCGTCACGGGGCTCGGCAGAGTTTGCAGAGCGCCTGAGTCACCGTGTCCCTGCCTTGGGGACACTGTGGCCAGCTCAGGAGCGCTGTCCCAGCCTGGGTGACACCGTGGCCAGGTGACACACGTCCCCCAGGACCTGCAGCATTCCCAGAGCAGCCCGTGGCTCCTCGAATTCCTCCTGAGCCGTTGCAAAGTGCCGGGAGCAGGTGGAGGCTCGGCCTCGAGGATCCTGCACTAATTAACTCCTGTACTAACTAACTCCTTAATTGGAAATCCATCCGGACCGTCCCCCTGCCGTGGGATTGCCCCAACCTCCCCCACCCGGAGCCCGCAGAGCCCGCGAGGATCCCTGCAGACGCTGCTTTGGGTGCCCTCCCCGCATCTGCGGGGCCCCCACAGCCGGGAATACCCGGGGGGGGACCCCAGAATCCCCCTGGGGGTGCCCCCCGTGCGGATGGGTGGGTGTCCCTTGGAGGGGCGGCCGTGCCCCGTGCCGGGTGAGCGCTCCCGGGGCCGGGAACTGGTCTGACGGGTGCGGGCCGGGCTTGTTTATCCAGGGCCGTGGCCAGGAGGGAGCGCGGCTGCCTCGGTCCCACGAGTGCCCCGGTCCCCACGGGTGCCCCGGTCCCCACGAGTGCCTCGGTCCCACGAGTGCCCCGGTCCCCACGAGTGCCCCGGTCCCCACGAGTGCCTCGGTCCCCGCGGGTGCCTCGGTCCCCACGAGTGCCCCGGTCCCCACGAGTGCCTCGGTCCCCGCGGGTGCCCCGGTCCCCACGAGTGCCTAGGTCCCCACGACTGCCTCGGTCCCCGCGGGCAGCGCCGCCACCGCGGCTGGGCCACCTCTGCCCCGCGATCCGGGCGGGGCCGCGGGGACAGGAGCTCGTCCCTCCATGCTGTTGTTTTCACCTGGAGCATCCCCGAGGAGGAGAGCTGGGGGAAAAATGAGCTGGAGAGGGGGACCTGAGTCAGGATTTGCGGGCAGGAAATGGGTGCTGGGTTCAGGAAATTGGTGCTGGGTTCAGGATTTGGGTGCTGGGTTCAGGATCTGGGTGCTGGGTTCAGGATCTGGATGCTGGATTAAGCATTTGGGTTCTGGATTCAGTATTTGAGTTCTGGTATCAGGATTTGAGTTCTTGGTTCAGGATCTGGGTGCTGGGTTCAAGACCTGGGTTCTGGATTCAGCATTTGGGTTCTGGATTCAGTATTTGAGTTCTGGTATCAGGATTTGAGTTCTTGGTTCAGGATCTGGGTGCTGGGTTCAAGACCTGGGTTCTGGATTCAGCATTTGGGTTCTGGATTCAGTATTTGAGCTCTGGATTCAGGATTTGAGTTCTGGGTTCAGGATCTGGGCTCTGAATTCAGGATTTGGGTGCTGCCTGGTGAAGAGCTGAAGCTGCTCTGGGGGTGCCAAGACACCCCCCCCAGCTGTTTGGGGTGATGGGGGCATAGCAGAGCCCCCACAGCCCCCAACCCCCTCCCCTTTGCTTTTCCAGACCCCGCTCCTGGACTCAGAATCCAGCCTGGACTATGGCCACAGCATCACCCAGGTGGGGGGGCCGGGAAAGCCCCCGGGAGGTGAATCTGGGGAGGCTGGGGTGGGGGCTGAGGGGCTGGAGCACCCCCACACTCCAGAGCCATCGGGGTGCTCCTTGGCCTCAGCCATTCCTGGGGTGGGCAGTGGCAATCCCGGGGCACTGAGGGGACGGGTGACAGCCCAGCCCCCCACCCACGAGCTCCCTTGTCCCCCTGCCACCCTCAGGCATCCTCGGAGAAGATCTGGAGGGCCGGCAAGCTCCTCTTTGCCCACCTCAGCACCTCCCGGCCCGGCCTCATCCGCGACCACAAACACCACCTGCGGCACCACCGGTGCGACGGGGGCTGGGGGGACCCTCGGGGGGCTCCGGGGGTGCTGTCCCGAGGGGGATCTCACCCCCTGTCCCCTCTCAGGCAGTGCTGCTCGGGGAAGGACTTGGTGGATTGGCTGCTGAGCGCCGGCGTGGCCGTCCAGACGCGCAGCCAGGCCGTGGGCATCGGGCAGGTGCTGGTGGACGGAGGGGTCCTGACGCACGGTGAGGGCTCCGGGGGGCTCCGGGGGGGATCTGGGGGGGGTGCAGAGCCGAGCTGACGGCCGCTGTCCCCCCGCAGTGAGGCAGGAGTGGCACTTCCAGGACAAGGACACGCAGTTCTACCGCTTCGCCGAGCTGGAGCTGAGCCCCGAGCCCGGCGCGGGGCCGCGGGACCCCGAGGAGCTGCTGGAGGCTTTGGGGTTCCTGGCCCAGCTGGGCCCCGACGCGCTGCTCTCCATGGCCCTGCGCAAGCCGTGAGTGCCCCGGGGGGCCTGGGGGGGCTCCTTTGCACCTTCTGGACTCTTTGGGACCCTGCTCGGGGGGTCTGGAGCTGCCACGGGGCTGCTGAGGGTCAGGGGATCCAACAGTGTCACCCGAGGAGGGGAGGGGGCTGGGGAGGGGGCTGTGCCCTGGGTGGGGGGCGCAGGGAGCCGCTGACCCCCCGGCCCCCCCAGGCCTGCCCAGCGCACGCAGGACGAGCTGGAGCTGATCTTTGAGGAGCTGCTTCACATCAAAGCCGTGGCTCATCTCTCCAACTCGGTGAGCGCGGCCGTGTCCCCAAACCCTGCGGGGTCGGGGTGTCCCCTGGGCCCCAAATCCTCCTGAACCCATCAATTCCTGTCCAGGCATCCTCCCCTGCTCCCCAAATCCTTCTGCACCCCTTTCTTTCTGTCCAAGCATCCTCTCTGATCGTTTCTGTGCCTCCCTCGGCCCTTCCCCGCCGTTCCCCGATCCGTGTCCCCTGCTGGCCCGGCCGGGGGTGACAGCGCTGTCCCCTGGCGCAGGTGAAGCGGGAGCTGGCGGCCGTGCTGATGTTCGAGGGGCACCAGCGTGCAGGCACCGTCCGTGAGTCACCCTGAGTCACCCGTGAGTGGCACCGGGGTGTCCCCAGCCTGGGGACACCGGAGCCGTTCCCAAAATTGTGGATTTTTTTCCCCCCCTTTTCCCGGGTGCTGTCCCAGTGTTCAGCCAAGGTGACAAAGGCACTTCCTGGTACATCATCTGGAAGGGCTCGGTCAACGTGGTCACCCACGGCAAGGTGGGTTTGTCCCCGCGCTGGAGGGACACCTTGGGGACACCCCAGGGACCTCCCAGTGCCACCATTCCTCATTTACCCAGGGCTTGGTGGCCACCTCGCACTGTGGGGACACCCTGGTGACACCCCAGGGACACCCCAATGTCACCGTCCCTCACCCTCCACGCTGTCCCCAGGGCTTGGTGACACCTTGCACGAGGGGGACACCTCGGGGACACCCCAATGTCACTGTCCCTCACCCCCCGTGCTGTCCCCAGGGCTTGGTGGCCACCCTGCACGAGGGGGACACCACGGGGACACCCCAATGTCACCATCCCTCACCCTCCACGCTGTCCCCAGGGCTTGGTGGCCACCTTGCACTGTGGGGACACCCTGGTGACACCCCAGGGACACCCCAATGTCACCGTCCCTCACCCTCCACGCTGCCCCCAGGGCTTGGTGGCCCCCCTGCACGAGGGGGATGACTTCGGGCAGCTGGCGCTGGTGAACGACGCCCCGCGGGCGGCCACCATCCTCCTGCGCGAGGACAATTGTCACTTCCTGCGCGTGGACAAGCAGGACTTCAACCGCATCCTCAAGGTGGGCTCGGGGGGGAGGGGGATTTTGGGGGGTATTTTGGGGGGGATTTTGGGGAATCCCAGCCGGGCTGACAGCGGGATCATCCCCCAGGACGTGGAGGCCAACACGGTGCGGCTGAAGGAGCACGGCAAGGTGGTGCTGGTGCTGCAGAAGGACCTGCAGGGGGGCAGCGGCCAGGCGGCCTCGGCGCGGAGCAGCAGGTGACACTCCTGTCCCTTGTGGCAGGTGACAGCCCTGTGTCCCCCTCTGAGGGGTGCCAGCCCTGTCCCTGTCCCCCTTTGGCAGGTGACACCCCTGTGTCCCTTGTGGCGGGTGACAGCCCTGTGTCCCCCTCTGACGGGTGCCAGCCCTGTCTCTGTCCCCCTTTGGCGGGTGACACCCCTGTGTCCCTTGTGGCAGGTGACACCCCTGTGTCCCCCTCTGGCGGGTGCCAGCAGCCGGGCTGACAGCGGGATCATCCCCCAGGACGTGGAGGCCAACACGGTGCGGCTGAAGGAGCACGGCAAGGTGGTGCTGGTGCTGCAGAAGGACCTGCAGGGGGGCAGCGGCCAGGCGGCCTCGGCGCGGAGCAGCAGGTGACACTCCTGTCCCTTGTGGCAGGTGACAGCCCTGTGTCCCCCTCTGAGGGGTGCCAGCCCTGTCCCTATCCCCCTTTGGCGGGTGACACCCCTGTGTCCCTTGTGGTGGGTGACAGCCCTGTCCCTGTCCCCCTTTGGCGGGTGACACCCCTGTGTCCCTTATGGTGGGTGACAGCCCTGTCTCTGTCCCCCTTTGGCGGGTGACACCCCTGTGTCCCTTGTGGTGGGTGACAGCCCTGTCCCTGTCCCCTTTTGGCGGGTGACACTCCTGTGTCCCCCTCTGGCGGGTGCCAGCTCTGTCGCTGTCCCCCTTTGGCGGGTGACACTCCTGTGTCCCCCTCTGGCGGGTGCCAGCTCTGTCCCTGTCCCCCTTTGGCGGGCGACACCCCTGTCCTCCTCACAGTAGGTGACACCCCTGTGCCTGTTCCCCTCACAGCAGGCGCCCCCTTGTGGCAGGTGACACTCCTGTCCCTGTCCCCTGAGCAGCAGGTGACAGCCCTGTCCCTGTTCCCTGAGCAGCAGGTGACAGCCCTGTCCCCTGAGCCGCCCCCTCTGCCCTTTCCAGCCTCCCTCGGGGCTGTTTTTGGGAGGAACAAGGGGACGAGGAGCAGGGACACCGGCCCGTGGTGACACAAACCTGTGGTGGCACGCTGGCACCAGCTTGTGGTGGCCCTGCCGCGGCCACAGTGTCACCTCTGCCCCTCCTGTCCCCAGCAGGTACCTGGTGATGGCCGGGACGCCCGAGAAGATCCTGGAGCACCTGCTGGAGTTCATGAGGCTCGACGCCACCCTCTACGACCCCGTGGGTAGGTGGGGGTGTCCCCTCTGTGTCCCCCTGTGCCGGGGACCATCCCAGAGCCACCCGTAGACGGGGCTGGGGACAGGCAAGGGTAGCGGCACCGAGCGGGGCTCCTCATTCCCGGTGTCCAAGCCCAAATCCCGCTCGTGCCACCCTGGGATCGCTAAAAACCCCAAAACCCCGAGGCCGGGAGAGGGCGGCGGCTCCGGGGCGGGGAGCGGCTCCGCCGCGCCTCTCGGTCTCCCTCTGCCTTCGGAGAGGAGAAACCCGGGCGAGCCGGGAGCCGGGAGATGTCCCCAGCGGGTCACAAATCCCAGCCGGGGACACTGGCACTGCTTGGAGCCGATCCCCGGGATTTGCGATCCCACCCCAACCATCAACCATCCAGCCCCTCCCGCGGGGTTTAGGAACAAAATCTGTCCCCATGGTGGGGACAGCCCAGCCCAGGCAGGGCACGGGGGACGCTTGGCCGGGTCCCCGTGGTGGGGACAGCCCAGGCAGGGCACGGGGGATCCTTGGCCGGGTCCCCGTGGTGGGGACAGCCCAGGCAGGGCACGGGGGATCCTTGGCCGGGTCCCCGTGGTGGGGACAGCCCAGGCAGGGCACGGGGGATCCTTGGCCGGGTCCCCGTGGTGGGGACAGCCCAGGCAGGGCACGGGGGATGCTTGGCCGGGTCCCCGTGTCCCCACGCGCTGGGGACAGGAGTGACGGTGCCCTGTCCCTCGCAGACACGCTGCTGGGGGATTTCCTGCTCACCTACACCGTGTTCATGCCGACCTCGCAGCTCTGCCGGGCCCTGCTGCACCAGTATCCTTCTGTGCGGGAACTGGGGGGACTGGGCTCCGCCACACGCTGGGGACACGCTCAGCCCGGTCCCTGTCCCCTCGGGGGGAGCCCCAAATCCCTTTCAGTCCTCTTGGGCGCATCCCCATCTCCTGTTGTGACATCCCTGGGGGTCCCTACGCCTCTCCGCGTTTTACTGGTGCCCTTGACTGGTCCCAGTTTCCGCGCGGAGCCGCTGGAGGGCTCGGAGCAGGACAAGGCCACCTACTCCCTGCGGAAGCGGCGGAAAATCCTGCGGCTGGTCAGCCAGTGGGTGCTGCTCTACGGGCGGCTGCTGCAGGGCGACCGCAGCACCACGGCGCTGCTGCAGGTGCGGCCAGGGTGACACGGCCAGGGTGACACGGTGACACCGCGAGGACCGGTGGGGACTGCCCCGCGCTCACCCCCGCGCCCCCTGTCCCCGCAGAACCTGGCGGATCTGGCGAGCCGGGACCCCCAGCTGGGCGGGCTGGGCCAGGAGCAGGGCCAGGAGCGGCGGCGGCCCCGAACGTGAGACTCCCCCCGGTGTCCCTCAGTGTCCCCTCAGTATCCCCCAGTGCCACCGCGGGTGCCCAGGGGCTGCGCTTCCCCAGGAGGAGCTTTTAGGGTGGCTCTGGTGCCACCTTGTCCCCGGTGTGGGGGTTCCCCGCCACGGGGAGGGTGGCACACACAGACAGGTGGGGCAGGGGGCTCGGAGGTGGCCGGAGCCCCAGGGGGTGGCCACAATCCTGGGGGTGGCCACCACGGGTGCCCAGGGGCTGCGCTTCCCCAGGAGGAGCTTTTAGGGTGGCTCTGGTGCCACCTTGTCCCCGGTGTGGGGGTTCCCCGCCACGGGGAGGGTGGCACACGCAGCCAGGTGGGGCAGGGGGCTCGGAGGTGGCCGGAGCCCCAGGGGGTGGCCACAATCCCGGGGGTGGCTGGTTCCAGTTCTGTTCCCAGCGGGAATGGCGGCTCCATTGTCCCCCTTCCCCTCCCGCAGGCTGGAGAACGGTGACGGCAGCGTGTCCCCCCAGCCCAAGGTAGGGGCCCCCTGAGGGGTGACAGGGCAGGATCTGGGTCCTCTGTGCCCTTTGGGGACACGCCACAGGAGGGACGGTGGCTGCGGCCGTGTCCTCCCGTCTGTCCCACCTTCGCCAGGCCCGGAGCTCGGGAATGTGGAGCCCCGAGGAGGCGATCCTGGACAGCACCTGCGCCCTGAGAGCACAGGACAAAGGTACTGCCCCCCAGCAGGGACTGTCCCCCGCGGCGTGGGGACACTTTTGTCCCTTTTGCCCCTTTGAGGACCCTTTTGTCCCCTCCCCAGTGCCCTACGAGATCTTCAGGGCCGACCACTCGTGCCTGGTGTCGGTGCTGCCCGTGAACGCCGCCGTGCGGGACGTCCTGCGGGCCCTGGCGCCGCGGCTGCGCCGGGACCGGGAGCACGTCCTGGTCAAGGTGAACTCGGCCGGAGGTGAGGGGACCCCCCCGGGGTGGCCTTGTCCCCGTGCCCAGCTGGGATCTGTCCCCTCCTCCGTGCCAGCCCGCCCTTCCCTCCGCGCAGACCGAGCGGTGCTGCCGCAGGACGCCGTGGGGGTGTTCACGGCTCTGGGCCTCAACGAGAGGCTCTTTGTGGTCAGCATGGACGAGCTGGGCAACCTGGTGAGTGCAGGGTGGGGGTCCGGGCTGGGCAGCACCGGGCAGACCCCCCCAAGAGGGGTTGGGGGCTGCGGTGCCTCGGTTTGGGGCACCCACTCCTCCTGGGGTCCGCTGAGGGCAGGAGGGGTCAGGGGTCCTGTCCTGTGCCCAGACCCCCCACCCTGAGCAGCTGGGCCCCCACGCCGGCTCCTCGGACACCCTGGACCTGATCAGCTCCAAGGACCTGGCCAGCCACCTCACTGACTACGACTGGAACCTCTTCAAGAGCATCCACCAGGTGCGGCCTGTGCTGGGAGCAGCCAGGAAGGGGTCAGGACACCCCTCACCTGCCGGGAAGGAGGGTCAGGACACCCCTCACCAGCTGGGAAGGGGGGTCAGGACACCCCTCACCTGTCGGGAAGGGGGGTCAGGACACCCCTCACCTGCCGGGAAGGGGGGTCAGGACACCCCTCACCAGCTGGGAAGGGGGGTCAGGACACCCCTCACCTGCCAGGAAGGGGGTTCAGGACACCCCTCACCTGCCGGGAAGGAGGGTCAGGACACCCCTCACCTGCTGGGAAGGGGGTTCAGGACACCCCTCATCTGCCGGGAAGGAGGGTCGGGACACCCCTCACCAGCTGGGAAGGGGGGTCAGGACACCCCTCACCTGCAGGGAAGGGGGGTCAGGACACCCCTCACCAGCTGGGAAGTGGGGTCAGGAGACCCTTCACCTGCTGGGAAGGGGGTTCAGGACCCCCCTCACCTGCCGCTCTCCCAGGTGGAGATGATCCACTACATCGTGGGGCCGCACAAGTTCCGCGAGGTCGCCACGGCCAACCTGGCGCGGGTGCTGCGGCGCTTCAACGAGCTGCAGTTCTGGGTGGCCACCGAGCTGTGCCTGTGCCCCGAGCTCGGGCGGCGGGCGCAGCTCCTCCGCAAGTTCATCAAACTGGCGGCACAGTGAGTCCCTGTCCCTGTTGCTGTCCCCGTCCCCGTCCCCGTCGCTGACTTGTCCCCGTCCCCGCCTGCAGCCTCAAGGAGCAGAAGAACCTGAATTCCTTCTTCGCGGTGATGTTTGGTGTGAGCAACACGGCCGTGACTCGCCTGGCCAAGACCTGGGAGGTGACAGCAGGGGGACAGCGGGGGGACGGTGGGGGTGGGGAGGGGGTCTCTGGGTGGGACGGGGGGGTCTCTGGGGAGGGACAGGGACCCCATGATCCTGTCCCTGTGCAGAGGTTGCCCCACAAGATCCGGAAGCTGCACTCGGCCCTGGAGAGGATGCTGGTGAGCGCAGCCCCCTGCCCCGTGTCCCCTTCCCTGCCCCATGTCCCCTTTCCTGCCCCGTGTCCCTTTCCCAGTGGGATTTGCCCCTGGAGCAATGGGGAGGGGGTGCTGCTGTCCCGCCTGTCCCCCCCATCCCCCGTGTCCCTGCCTGTCCCCAGGACCCCTCGTGGAACCACCGTGTCTATCGCCTGGCCGTGGCCAAGCTGAGCCCCCCCATCATCCCCTTCGTGCCCCTGCTGCTCAAAGGTTGGTATCTGGTTTTGGGGACCCTCTGGGCGTGTCCAGCGCCCCCGCGAGTCCCCCTCTGACCCCTAAACCCCCCCAGACATGACCTTCATCCACGAGGGCAATCGCACCCTGGCCGAGAACCTCATCAACTTCGAGAAGATGGTGAGAGTGGGGGTGGTGACCCCTCCGAGGGCCCTGCTGTGCCCCTCTCCCCTGGCACGCAGAGCTCTGCCACTGCACAGCCAGGGGTGTCCCGGCGTGGTCACAGCCAAGGCGGGGACAGAGATTTTGGGGATCCAAGTGGGGCCAGGTGGCAGCAGGTGACCTCTGTGCCTCACCCACAGCACATGATGGCCAAGACCGTGCGAGTCCTGCAGCGCTGCCGGGGCCACGCGCACGGTGAGCGCTCCAGGGAGCTGGGGAGGGGGCCTGGAGCAGCCCCTGGGGACAGGGCTGGGACCCTGGGGACACAACTGAGCCCCTGGGAACGCGGCTGAGCCCCCCACGTTCTCTGTGTCCCCCCAGCGCCGCTGTCCCCGCTGCGGAGCCGCTCCCCGCACCGGCCCGAGGACGCCAAGGCCGTCAGGATCTCCACGTGTACGGCTGGAGCCCCTCAGCCTGACCCCCAACCCGGCCCCGCGGGACCCCCAACCCTCTGCGGGGGTCCCTGAGCTGAGGGAGGGGGGATGGAGATGGAGGGATCCATGGGGGGATTCGTGGGGGGATCCATGGGGGATCCATGGGGAGATCCATGGGGGGATCTATGGGGGGATCCATGGGGGATCCATGGGGGGATCTGTGGGGGGATCCATGGAGAGATTCATGGGGGGATCCATGCAGGGATCCATGCGGGGATCCATGGGGGGATCCATGGAGAGATCCATGGGGAGATCCATGGGGAGATCCATGGGGGATCCATGGGGGGATCCATGGGGGGATCCATGGGGGAATTCATGAAGAGATCCATGGGGGGATCCATGGGGGGATCCATGCAGGGATCCATGCGGGATTCCATGGGGGGATCCATGGAGAGATCCATGGGGAGATCCATGGGGAGATCCATGGGGGATCCATGGGGAGATCCATGGGGGAATTCATGAAGAGATCCATGGGGAGATCCATGGGGAGATCCGTGGGGGATCCATGGGGGGATCCATGGGGGGATCCATGGGGGAATCCATGAAGAGATCCATGGGGGCATCCATGGGGAGATCCGTGGGGGGATCTGTGGGGGGATCCATGAGCCAGTCCAGGGCGGTTGTGGGAGGTTTGGGAGTGACAGAGGGGGTCCATGGGGTGATCCTGCAGGGAGGGACAGGCTGTGCCAGGGCATGGAGGGGACCCCAGCCTCGACCTCGTCCCTCCCTCCCCGCAGGCTCGGAGCAGTCCCTGAGCGTGCGGAACCCCGTGTCCACCTGGGCCTACCTGCAGCACCTGAGGGCCATCGACAGCCAGAAGGAGCTGCTGAGGCTCTCCCGGGAGCTGGAGCCCTGAGGGGAGAGGGGCTGGAGCGGGGATGGGGGCCTGGAGCGGGGATGGGGGACCAGAGCAAGGATGGGGACCCAGAACAGGAATGGAGGCCCAGAGCAGGGATGTGGGCCTGGAACGAGGATGGGGGTCCAGACCAAGTACGGGGCCTGGAATGGGGATGGGGGCTCAGGGCAAGGATGGGGGCCCAGGGCAAGGACGGAGGACCAGAGCAGGGATGGGGGCCCGGCTGCCGGCGGCAGGGCAGCCCCTGGCTCTGCTCCCGGTGGTGGGGCAGCCCCTGGCTCTGCTCCCGGTGGTGGGGCAGCCCCTGGCTCTGCTCCCGGTGGCCCCAGGCTGTGCTGGAGCAGCCCCAGAGCTCGGCCATGGACTCAGACCCGGCCCCGTGGGGCAGCCGGGCCCCGCTGAGCTGTGGGCAGGTGAGGGCAGAGCAATAGAGGTATTTTTGTACTCACGGCTGCGCTCCCCGTTCTTCTCCGAGCCCGGGGTCACCCCCTGCACCTGCACCCCCGATGTCACCTGGGGGACGGCCCCGGAGCTGCCCCAGGGGAGGTGACACAGTGCTGGCACCAGGAGGGGACAGCTCAGGAAATGACTGAGGGCTGAGGGAGAAGCCAAACCCGGCCCTTATTGCACCAAACGCCGCTCCCGTGCCAGCTGGCACCGCCCGGGGCACGGCAGGGACCGCTCCCTGCTCCGGGAGGGGTCCTGGGCATCACCCCCCTCCTCGGGAGCTGTTGGGGGTCGGGTCTCACCTGCCCAGGTGGGGGGCACGGGGTGTGAGCCTCTCCTTGGGGGGGACACCCTGTCCCGGGGCTGTGGCTGCTCCCAAAGCAGCGGGGTCGGGTGCCAGGCGGGCCCGGGGCTGCCCCCAGGAGCCCCCAAGTGCTGACCCTGCCTGGAATTGCCCCAGGCCAAGCCAGGGGTACCTGGAGCACCAGGACCAGCCGGCATTGGCCACCCCTGGGCTGGCGAGGGGGTGGAGAAGAGTCTGGAGCAAATCCTGCGGGCTTTGGGGTGAGGTTTGCTGGGAAAACGCGGCAGGGAGTGAGGAAGAGGAGGCAGAGGCTGGTGGTGCCCCTGGGGGACCCTCCCAGCGCTGCTGGGGCTCCGTTACTCCCCTGGAAATGCCCCTGCTCAGCCCCGGGACCTGGAACATTTTCCATCCGGGATCGGCTGGGAGGGGAAGGGGCTGTGACCCCCCCAGGCATGGCCTGAGCCCCCCAGGGCGTAGAGGGTCCCTGGGGCAGCTCTGGGCTCACCCCGGGAGTGGGACCAGGCCGGGATGACCCCAAACCTCACCTCGGGGCCGTGCTGGAGTTTTGGGCTTTTCTGGAGGATCCCGAGGCTCCAACGAGGCCGATCCGAGCCGGGGGTGGGCGGGGGGGTCACAACCTCCGGAGCTGAATTAGGAGAGCTCATTGCCCGCAATTAACGTTGCTCCCAGTTCACACCAGTTCACACCAGTCCCCCGGAGCGCCAGGCCCAGTCAGGGACCCGGCTGTGCCCCCGGCGCCCAGTTCTGGGGGGGTGAGCAAAGCCCCCCCCGGGACCCTCCCCCGCAGCCTCGGCCGCCCCCGGGGGTCAGGCCCGGGAGCTGTGGAGCAAGCCCGGGATTCTGGATTTACCAGCCCTCCTCCCACTGCGGGCAGCCTGTAATTAGCCGCGCGCTTAATGAGTTTTGGGGAAGTTCGGGTGCAGCCCGCCCGTGGAGCCCTCGCTGCCATCACGCCCCTCCCTCCCTCCCCCCCCACAAATAGCCGCAGCTCCGGGGAGCTCCGGCATTCCCGAGCCGATCCCGGGACTCCCGAGGGACGATGGAGCCCTGGATCCTCCTGCTGGGGGCAGGGATCGCCCTGGGCTGCGTGTCCGGCCGTGAGTAACCAGCGGGGTCCCGGGGGGCGGGCTGGGGGCGCTGCCCTCCACCAGCAGCTCAGCCTTACTGGGATAACTGGGATGGAGCCAGCCGGGCTCCGCGGGGGAAGGGGAGGGGGATTTTCCGTGCTGGAAATCCAGCCCGGGGTGGGGGTGGGTTGCCTGGCCCACCAGCTGGGTCCTGGTGTGTCTGAGCCTGCTTTGGTCCTGCAAAGCTCAAGGAACCTTCTTCTGGCTCCTCCTTTCCATTTATCCATGGAAAAAACAGCTTTGGGAGTTTTCCAATCCCAATCCCGGATCCACCTTCCCCCTGTGGCCGCTGGGGCTGCTCAGGTGGCAAACGCAGCCCAGGGGGGCTGTGCCCGACCCCGAGGTGCCCGGGAGGGGCTCAGGGGGCTCTGGCTTTAAGGATGGGCTTGGAGCCACCAGGATTTGGCAGCCGGGATCCCACGGGGGTGAGGAGGTGCTGGCAGTGCCGAGTTCTTGCACAAAGCTGTGAACCGTGATGCCCTGGCACTGAGGACGGGATTTCATCACCCCCGACGCTGCCAGGAGCTCGTATCTGATGTCCCAGGAGAGGATGAGTCCCCTTGGGATGAGAGATGAGGAGTTTTGCAAGGCCAGCTCACAGGAGAAGCTCCAAACCAGCTGGGAGCAGGAGTTTCCCAAACTCCCGAGTGAGTCCTGAGCTCACAAATTTCCTGTGTGAGTCCTGAGCTCCCAAATGTTCTGAGTCCTGAGTTCCCAAACTCCTGAGTGAGTCCCCAAACTCCTGAGTCCTGAGCTCACAAATTTCCTGTGTGAGCCCTGAGCTCCCAAACTCCTGAGTGAGTTCCCAAACTCCTGAGTGAGTTCCGAAACTCCTGAGTGAGTCCTGAGCTCCCAAATTTTCTGAGTCCTGAGTTCCCAAACTCCTGAGTGAGTCCCCAAATTTCCCGTGTGAGTCCTGAGCTGTTCCAGAAGGAAAAGCCGTGGTGAAGGTGGCTGGGAAGCTCGGCTGCCTCGTGGTCAGTCCTGGCTGCCTGCTGGACCTGTCTGGTGGACCTGAAACCTCCCCACTTCTCCTGGTGTGGGCAGTGGGAGATTTTCCCTGATTATCCCACAGACAGGGCTCACGTGTGGGTTTGCAGCCAGGAGCTGAGGGTTTGGGAAGCTCAGGCTGTCCACAGCTCTGTTCCAGGCTCGTTTGTCCTTCAGATGGTCCCTTCTGGAGCCTGGGCTGGGTTTGGAGCCGTGTTTTCCTGGAGGAACGAGGTCCTGAGTCAGGCCAGGGGCTCGAGGACGCGGCTCTGGCTGAGCTGACTCATCCCCGTGCCCGAAACCAAACTGGGAGCACTGGGAGAGCTCCGGCACCTCCCCAGAGCCCGGAGGATGGAGCTGGGCAGGGAATGTCCCCCTTCCCTGGGCCACAACTCCGTTTGGGAGAGCAAGGAGGGGTCTGGTCCCCGAGAAAGAGAAATATTTCTGTGCTCTGTGCAGCCAGAGAAAATCTTGGGGCAGGATCAGCCAAAAAATCTCCTCTGGCTGGTCCAGCCAAAAACCCCCGGGGTGGCTGAGTGTGCCTGGGCCGTGTCCTTCTGTCCTTCTGTCCTGGGCCACCACCCCTGTGGCATTTCCAGCTCTTCCCACAGCCCCAAAATGCTCCCAAGAGCTCCAGCAGCCCCCCCTACCCCCACCAGGGACAGCTGAGGGCCCTGCCGGGATTTAGGGTGGGTTTAGGGTTGGTTTAGGGTCGATGTAAGGATTTAGGGTCGTGTTTGAGTGAGGAGGAGGAGCCGTTCCCCTGCCCTGAGCCCGCTCGGGTGCCCCGTGGCGTTGGGGATTTGGGACCGGGGATTTGAGGATTTGGGATGATGCTGAGCCCGCCCCTCCGAGGGCTGAGTCAGGGTCGGGGCCCTGCTGGGACACGCTCGGGCCGCCGTGACACCCCCGGGAGCGCGGGGCCGGCACCGGGACGGGCTCGGCGGTGACGGGGGGAGCGTGGGCAGCTCCTGCCCTGCCCAATCCCGCCGGGATCGCGGCTGGAAAAGGAGGGGAATGAGGGAACCGGGGGGGTTCATCCCAGTGCTGCTCTGGGAACGGGGCTGGAGCTGGACTGGTCGGACTGGGAGGGTCTGGGCAGCACCGAGCACCCCATCCCTGGGATGTCCCTGCCCTGGAAGTTCTCCCAGCTCTTCTCAGGGGTTTCAGGAGAACCTCGAGACCCCCCCTGCCGAAATCCTCCTGTTTAAAGGATTTACAGAGAATGGGAAACCAAGAGGGAAAACCAAGCCAAGGACACCCCGCAGGAGCTGGGGTTTGGGGGGCGAGGGAGCCAAGGGGTCCCCCAGCACCTGCAGGGCCGGGGTGACATCACGGAGCACAAACAACCGGGGTGAAGTGACAAAGGGGACAAACAACGCGGGAAGGCGGCGGTGTCGGGAGCTTGATGCCACCCTCATGGCCTGGATGTCGCTGTCATCGCCTGGATGCCGCCCTCATGGCCTGGATGTCGCTGTCATCGCCTGGGTGTCCCCGGACAGGATGAGCCGCATCAGGATTTGCCCCGGGGCCACCTTTCACCCGGGCTGGGCGAGCCCGCGGTGCCTCAGATGTCGGAGATTGCGGCGGCTCCGCCAGGGAGAGCAACGCCCGCTCCTCCAGGGCTGCCTTTGCCGGCTGGGCCGCCCTGCTGGCACGGGCTGGCACGGGCTGGCACGGGGACACCCTGCTGGCACGGGCTGGCACGGGGACACCGCTGGCACGGGGACACCCTGCTGGCACGGGCTGGCACGGGGACACCGCTGGGACAGGGACACCCTGCTGGCACGGGCTGGCACGGGGACACCGCTGGGAGAGGGACACCCGCTGGGACAGGGCCACCTTGTGGGACAGGGCCACCCTTGTCCCTCTGAGTGTCCCTTGTCCCCTTCAAGGCTTCACCGCTGCTATTTTTAGCTTTGCTTTGCGTCACAAAGCAGGTGCTCAGCAGCTCGTTGGTTATGAACAGCTCGGGAAGGCTTTCCCAGTTTTCCCAGTTGTTTTCCCAGTTGTTTTCCCTGTTTTCCCAGTTTTCCAGTTGTTTTCCCAGTTTTCCTAGTTTTCCCAGTTTTCCCAGTTGTTTTCCCAGTTGTTTTCCCAGTTGTTTTCCCAGTTTTCCCAGTTGTTTTCCCAGTTTTCCCAGCAGTTTTCCCAGTTGTTTTCCCAGTTTTCCCAGCAGGAAGCCAACGAGCCCGCCTGGAACGCGGCAGCTCCTCCGGGGGTGGTGGCCCGGGGCGCTGGGGCTCATCCCGGGGGGAATCACCGGGAGCAGTTCCGGGGGGGACCCGCGAGCCGCTCCCCGGTGTCACCTTGAGGCTGTGACAAACACAGCCCGACAGCAGCGGCCCTGGTGACAAAGATCCCTGGTGGCTCCTGGGCTGCCCGGGGCGCTCGGGCTCATCCCGGGGTGAATCACGGGGAGCAGGTCTGGGGCTGTTCCCCGGTGTCACCTTGAGGCTGTGACAAACACAGCCCGACAGGAGCGACCCTGGTGACAAAAATCCCGGCTGGGGCTGCCCGGGAGGGGACAGAGGGTGGGACGGGGACGCTCCAGGGGAGGGGGTGGCCGCACTCAGCCCCTCCTGAGTGCCACCCCCCGTTTGTGTCCCCAAAGATCTGTACACAGCCCCCGACTCGTGCGAGGGACGCTGCGGGGAGCCCTTCAGTGAGGAGGACGAGTGTCACTGTCACCCCGAGTGCCAGGCACAGCACAACTGCTGCGAGGACTACGAGAGGCACTGCGGGCCCGGTGAGCGCCCCGCGACAGCCATTTGGGGTGTCCCCACCCCCCTGAGGGTCCCGAGCCTCTGCAGGTCCCCAAGGTGTCCCCAAGCCCCTGAGCTCCTTTTCCTCTCTGCTCCGCAGGTGGGGAAGGCGCCGAGGGCGGAGCTCGAACCCGCGGTGAGTCGGGAGGGACAGAACAGCCCCCGGTGCCCCGGGTGTCCCCACATTCCTCGGGGTGTCCCCCCCTTCCTTGGGGTGTCACCCTCAGGTGGCCCGGGGTGTCCCACTCCATTCCTCGGGTTGTCCCCCTCTATTCCTCGGAGTGTCCCCCTCTGTTCCTCGGAGTGTCCCCTCTGTTCCTCGGAGTGTCCCCTCTGTTCCTCAAGGTGTCCCCACGTTCCTCGAGGTGTCCCCCCCATTCCAGCAGCGCTGTCCCCTCCCAGAGCTGGGGGCCGCGGGCACAGGGAGTGGGGGCAGGACCAGCTGGGTTGGCACCCCCTGCCCACCCCCAGCGTGGGGAGGGGAACCATCCCTGGGATATGTGGGAATTGTCACTGCCCGTGTCCCCGTGGCCGCCTGCTGTCCCCGGCCTGTGGGGTCAGGACCCCCTGAACCCCCGAGGCCTCCATGTCCTGGGGTCCCGTGTGTCCCCTCAGGGACATCCTCGCTTTTCTGTGGATCCTCTGGATCCCCTCAGTTCTCCATGGATCCTCTGGATCCCCTCACTTCTCCATGGATCATTCACTTTTCCATGGATCCCTCTCACTTTTCCGTGGATCCTCTGGATCCCCTTGACTTTTCCATGGATCCCTCCCCTTTCCCATGGATCTTTCCCATGGATTCCAGAGCTGTCCCCAGCCCCTGCCTGTCCCCACAGGGACATCCTCACTTTTCCATGGATACAGCTGGATCCCCTCACTTCTCCATGGATCCCTCCCTTTTCCATGGATTCTGTTGGATCCCTTCACTTTTCCATGGATCCCCCTCACTTTTCCATGGGTCCTCTGGATCCCCTTGACTTTTCCATGGATCCCCTTGACTTTTCCATGGATCCTCTGGATCCCCTTCACTTTCCCATGGATCCCTCCCTTTTCCATGGATTCTGTTGGATCCCTTCACTTTTCCATGGATCCCCCTCACTTTTCCATGGGTCCTCTGGATCCCCTTGACTTTTCCATGGATCCCCTTGACTTTTCCATGGATCCTCTGTATCCCCTCACTTCTCCATGGATCCCTCCCTTTTCCATGGATCCCGTTGACTTTTCCATTGACCCTCTGGATCCCCCTCACTTTTCCCTGGATCCCCTTGACTTTTCCCTGGATCCCTCCCCTTTCCCATGGATCCCAGAGCTGTCCCCAGCCCCTGCCTGTCCCCACAGGGACATCCTCACTTTTCCATGGATCCTCTGGATCCCCTCACTTCTCCATGGATCCCTCCCTTTTCCATGGATTCTGTTGGATCTCTTCACTTTTCCATGGATCCGCCTCACTTTTCCATGGATCCCCCTCAGTTTTCTACGGATCCTCTGGATCCCCTCACTTCTCCATGGATCCCTCCCTTTTCCATGGATCCCGTTGACTTTTCCATTGACCCTCTGGATCCCCCTCACTTTTCCCTGGATCCCCTTGACTTTTCCATGGACCCCCTTCACTTTTCCGTGGATCCTCTGGATCCCCCTCAGTTTTCCATGGATCCACTGGATCCCCTTCACTTTTCCCTGGATCCCCTTGACTTTTCCCTGGATCCCTCCCCTTCCCCACGGATCCCAGAGCTGTCCCCAGCCCCCGCTGTCCCCGCAGAGGGATTCTCCAGCAGCAGCGATTCCATCACGGACCGGGAGCTGCTGCAGCTCTCGGAGCAGCTCTACGGGCTGGACCACAACAAAGCCCGGCCCAACGACATCGCCATCAACCCGCAGCACCTGGCGGGCCCCGACGAGACCGGGGACAAGCAGGACCGGTCCCCGCAGCCGTGAGTGGCACCAGGGGAGGGACAGCGGCCCCGAGCTGGGGGAAAGGGAGCTGCAATTCCAGCAATTCTCCCGCAGGCTCTACAAATACGTGAACGAGGAGCTCTTCTCCAAGCCCACCTACGCCAGCTTCATTAAGCTGCTGGATAATTACCAGAGGGCCACGGGCAGGGAGGAGGAGGTGACGGCCGAGGAGCTGCGGGAGCAGGAGCGTTTCCTCGAGGAGGTGATGAAAACGGAGCTGATGAAGAAACTCTTTGTGTTCCTGCAGGGAAAAAGTGAGTGTGGAGCAGGGAATGGGGGAATCCCAAAGGGAGACAATCCAAAGCGGCTCACGCCATTTTCAGAAGGCTTTTAAAATCAAATTTTATGTTAAATTTTAGTTATTTTTAATGGTGCTTTTTTAAATAAAAACCCTATTTTTATTTTAGCATGCATGCTTTTTATGCATACTTACAAAACTCCTAAGTTTACACTTCTCTCATTGGTCACGAGAGACAAACAAATTTCTCATTGTGATAACTTCAGATTTCTCTTATTTATCCTTTTCTTTCTTGGTTTCTATGTCAACGACCTTGGTAGGAAATTCTTTCAGGGGTAAACATGGATCCTCTTATCAAACTTCTCTCCGGTTCACGGGAGTCTCTGTGAAACCTCTTCCACAAAGCCCCAGCCAGGGAACACCTGGGACTGGCCCAGGGGGAAATCCAGAGGGAGAATTCCGGAGGGACAGCGTGGGGAAGGGATGGGGAACCCTGCTGGTTCTCAGCTTCCTTTTTCTACCTCTGCTGAGGTCAGAATTGAAGGCACTCAAGACGATATTTCACATTCAGACTCAGGTGTTTATCGTTTCTTATCAATGCTACAGCCTCACAACCCTGAGTTCTGCAGTCCTTCATTAACCAGGCACAAAATGGCCAACAATCTCTTGTTACGAGGTGTTTTAAGGCTAAACTATCTAATTAGGAAATAGCACCTAAATTATTTTCACTTTCAACCCAGTAACTCATCCCCCAAAGTCCTCAATGCGGATTTTTCTGTCCAATTCCAAAACACCACCCAAAGCCATGAAGAAGGAGGAGGAAGAACAACCTAAAACCTCCATCTTGCTCCGTATTTATTACTGCATTCTAAAACCCCAAACTCTTAAGTTTTCCACCCTGTGACATCACACACTTCTAATCAAACCACGCACCCGTAATCCCAGCGCTATCAATCAATTTTGGAATTGATTGATAGCACTTCTTCATGGCCTCGGGTCAAATGCAGTGCTCTCCTGGGGGTCAGAGTCTGTCAGCACAGAAAACCTAAATTTCTCAGCGCCCACAAGTCCAGCAGAGCCCCAGCTCTGCCTCTCCCTGCTCCTGCCTTTCCCTGCAGACCGCTACAGCTCCGAGCAGGAGTTCCTGCAGGATCTGAAGCAGATGTGGTTCGGCCTCTACTCCCGAGGGGACGGAGAGCGCGATTCCAGCGGCTTCGAGCACGTCTTCTCAGGTACAGCCCTCCTGGGTGTTCTCAGGTACAGCTCTCACTGGGTGTTCTCAGGTACAGCCCTCCCTGGGTGTTTTCAGGTACAGCCCTCCTGGGGTGTTCTCACATACAGCCCTCCCTGGGTGTTCTCAGGTGCAGCTCTCACTGGGTGTTCTCAGGTACAGCCCTCCTGGGTGTTCTCAGGTACAGCCCTCCTGGGTGTTCTCAGGTACAGCCCTTCTGGGGTGGTGTTCTCAGGTACAGCCCTCCTGGGGTGGTGTTCTCAGGTACAGCCCTCCTGGGGGTTCTCAGGTACAGCTCTCACTGGGTGTTCTCAGGTACAGCTCTCCCTGGGCGTTCTCAGGTACACCTCTCCTGGGGGGGTGTTCTCAGGTACAGCCCTCCCTGGGTGTTCTCAGGTACAGCTCTCACTGGGTGTTCTCAGGTACAGCCCTCCCTGGGTGTTCTCAGGTACAGTCCTCCCTGGGTGTTCTCAGGTACAGCCCTCCCTGGGTGTTCTCAGGTACAGCCCTCCCTGGGTGGGGGCTCATCCCAGCATCCCCTCTGTGTTTTAGGGGAGGTGAAAAAGGGAAAAGTGTCTGGATTTCACAACTGGATCCGCTTCTACCTCCTGGAGAAGCAGGGGGTCGTCAACTACTTCAGCCACAACTTCAACGGGCCGGTGAGAGCTCGCGGGGGGCCCACGGGGATGAACCCACAGATCAGGGGTGCTCCCCCTGCCCCATCCCCGCTGTGGGGTGGGAAGGGCTGGAACCCACAGCGCCAGGGGCGAGAGGGGCTCCCAAGCCATCAGGGAGAGATTTGGGGCGGGGGGCTCTGCCGGGACCCCCCAACCCGGCCGGGAGCTGCTCTGGAGCCTCCCTGGGGGGGATGGGAGGGTTCCTGGCTGGGCTGGGCAGGGATTCCCACCCTGCTGAGCGCAGACCCCGCCGCCCCGCAGTGGGACACGTACCCCGACGTGCTGGGGCTGCAGTTCAGCTGGGACGGCTTCTACAAGGAGGTGGGCTCGGCGTTCATCGGCTGCAGCCCCGAGTTCGAGTTCGGCCTCTACTCCCTCTGCTTCCTCGCGCGGCCCGGCCGGGCGTGAGTGCTGACCCTGCGTCCCTCTGTCCGTCCCGCGTCCCTCTGTCCGTCCTAAATCCGGCCCTGGGGCCAGCGGGGCCTCCCTGAGCCCCATCAGGGCTGAGGCTGGCCCTGAATTTGGGGAGGGATGGGATGGGATGGCATGGGATGGGATGGGATGGGATGGGATGGGAGGGTGGGGATGGGATGGGGGTGGTGATGGAAATGAGGATGGGGATGGAGATGGCCATGGAGCAGCACTGGCCGGGGACACCAAGTGCATCCTGGAGATGGGACTGTGGCATGAGGGGCTCAGGGCTGGAGCACCGTGGGTGTGGGGACACCGAGAGCCCCCCGGAGCCCCTCCCCACAGTGTGGCTCAGGCACGGAGCAGGGCGGTGACAGGCAGTGTCCCCACAGGTGCCACCTGAGCCTGGGCGGGCACCGCCTCAGCGTGCAGACCTACCCCTGGACCAAATCCACCTACGGCAGCGGCAGGAGGTTCATCGCCACCGCCTACGTGATGTCGCCCTGAGGGGACACGGCTGGGGGCGAGCACCGGGGCCGCCCCCGCGCTGCTCGGGGCCGCTCCGGCCCCACGGGAGCGGCTGCGCTGCGGGCCCGGCCCGGGGGGGGTCCGAACCCTGCGGGGAGGGGGCGAGGGGACACCCCCAGACCCCGCCGCGTGTGGCGGGCCGGGGGTCGGCAGGAGAGCGGCGGGAAGGGAAGGATTGGGCGCGGAAAGGAGGATCCTGAGCGGAATAAAAGCTGCCCTGGCTGGAGGAGCGTTGGGTTCTGGGTGCAGCAGCCCCCCCTTTATCCCCCCGCGCCCCAT